TTATTCAGCCAGGGGTGCATTTCTGCTGCTCTTGTGCCATTGTTTATGTCGGTGCCAGCTGGCGAATGCCAACTGGTCCCTTGGGATGCCAGTGTTTGGTGGGAGAGAGTGTGCTGCATCTCTGGTCCTGCCTACTCAGAGAAAACAATGTCTCACAAAACTACACTTCCCAGGATTCCCTAGCATTGAGCCAGGGCAGTTAAAGTGGTCTCAAACTGGATTATTTCTGCAGTATGGATTGGATCTATAATAAAGTGCCCATCTCCTGGCTCTCCTGCCTACCCTTTGGCCTTCCACCTCTTTTGCTCTCTCTTTAGCTGTGCCAGGGTGGCACCTGCCATTCTGCCCCATTGGCCTCCCAGCATAGTTGGGGAGCTTCCCCCTCTTGGGAGAGGGCTTGGCACCTTTTAAAGCCTTTTTAGTGGCATCAGCAGATCTTAGGGTTGGGCTTTGGGTCTGGGCTCCTTTCCAAACTTCTGAAAGACAATTCAGATTTGTCCTTTGGAACAATTAGTCATGGAAGCTACCAGGGGAGAGGTGGTATTTGACTTAAGGCAAACCAACCAGGGCCTGGCATCCAAGGCAACCTTTAAATGGACTGCTTGGAGACAGTGGCCATGGTGTTGTGTAATTTCAACACATGTGTAAAGTGGAACCTTGCCAGGGAGGACTGACACCACCAAAGGAGTAATTTCCCAAAATACAAAAATTTCTGGTTGGGTGGAAAAAAAAGCAGTAGGCTGATGTTGAGATGGAACAAACTCCTTAAATCAGACTATGGTCCAAAACACACTGCAGAAATAATCCAGTCTGAGACCGCTTTAACTGCCCTGGCTCAGTGCTAGGGAATCCTAGGAATTGTAGTTTATTGTGGCACCAGAGCTCTCTGGCAGAAAAGGCTCTGTGTCTCACAAAACCTACAGTTTCCAGAAATCGCTAGCATTGAGCCAGGGCAGTTAAAGCGGTCTCAAATTGGATTATTTCTGCAGTATGGATTGGATCAAGTTTGCATCACCTATATGAGAGCCAGTGTTGTGTAGTGGTTTGAGCGTTGGACTCCGACTCTAGAAACCAGCATTCAAATCCATGCTTGGGCGAGACACACACTCTCAACCCAGAAACCCCGGGTTCGCCTTCGGGTTGGAAACGACTTGAAGGCCCACAACAACAACAGTAACTGACGTATGTAATAGATCAGACATTGTGAGGGATTTAAGGAGGTGTCACCTAACATTTTTCCATGCTAGCTGGGAAAGTCTGGGAGTTTTAATGCAAAAAAGTAACCAGCCATGCTGGCTGGGGGATTCTGGGAGATGTGATTCAAAAAGGTAATTGGCCCTGCTGACTTGAAGAAGCTGAGTAGCATGCCAATGTGGTTAAACAATAAAATCAAGAAAACCAGCATAAGGACAAAAGATTGCAGCACAGCCAGGAAATAATGTAGTTGTCTTTTTTTCAAAAGCATATACGTTCTGCCTGACTTAATGCATAGGTGCAATACTTTATTTCTTTCAAATGCATGAACTGCTGTCAGAACAAGGCAAGAAGGAATTTGAAAAACAAATGACTAATAACAGGAAGGGGAAAAAAGGATTTCAGGTGTGGGAATTGTGTGGCCCTCTCGATGTTGTTGGTGTGCAAGCCCCAGTGTTCCTCAGCAATGGTTACATTGGCTAGGGCTGATGGGAGTTATAGTTGAACAACAAGGCCCTGTAATTCCCATCCCTGCTGTAGATCTACCCTACAATTGATTCTAGTTTCTCTCATGTGATCCTTCTCAGTTCCAACTCAGTTCTTTTTCAGGCAGCGCAACCAATGTCTTCTTTCCAAGGGCTCCTCCCTTAATTCTTTTGACCCTTAGTAGCTCCACAGTCTGTACAGCTGCACTAGAAAGCCTGTGAGGCCACTGAAGGACAAAAGCATTGAGGCTGGGACATTATTAAAGGAGGAGAGGGAGAAATGGTTTTAAAAATTGCAAAAAGTACTTAGTAGAGAGCCAGCGTAGTATAGTGGTGGACTATGATTCTGGAGATTGGGGTTCGAATCCCCACTGGGGCACACACACTGTGCACTGAAAACCAAAAAGGAGGAATAAATGGTGTGTACCCTTACACACAGAAAGTCTCTAGAGAGAAACTAGGGAAAAAAGACTAACCAGGAAAGTCAGGTCTTAACAATACTACAAACATTTCTTTGTAGATTACATGTGTTTACTATAATAATACAATTCTGGACAACCAATGGAAGTCAAACTATATAAACCATTTAGAAAATGATCATACAGTAAAAATATTATAAAGTAACCATAACATGAAGTATCTCATCTCTAAAGTTTAACAAATCATCACGAGAACAATCAGAAATAAGTAAGTACCTGACTTTCCTGTTTGTTTTTAGCAAGACACACTCTCTCAGCCTCAGAGGAAACCCACTCTGAATCACAATCTTGCCAAGAAAACGGCATGAGTCAGAAATGACTTGAAAGCACACAGCAGCAGCATTAGCAGCAACAAAAGTTTTGAAAAGGCTCACAAGAAGCAACTAAAATGAATGGGAGCTAATTCTGTGACAGATTCCTTTGGAAGCATTTAGGGTTTTTTACCTTTGGGGGAACAAGTGATGGAGAAGTGATTGTGGTAATAAAATTAGGAACTTCAAGACTTGTAGAGAGGCGATATCTCCTATTTTCTCATTCATCTTGAACTGGAGATCTCCCACTCTGGTTGTCTGAAGAACAAATAAAAGGGAGTCTTTCTTCACCCAGTCAGACCACTAGACTTGGCTGAGCCCTAGAACTTCTCTTGGGGTGCTCCCACACTGCAGAATTAATGCAGTTTGGCCTGCTTTAACTGTCGTGGCTCGGTCCTATGGAAACCTGGGATTCGTAGTTTGTTGTGGCTCCAGAGCTCTCTGACAGAAGAGGCTACATAGCTCGCCAAACTACAGATCCCAGAATTTCATAGCATCGGGCCATGGAAAACAGTGTCAAAATGCATTAATTTTGCAGTGTAGATGCAGTTTTGGTCAAAGGGACTTCGTGGGCAATTCTGTTCCATGGCTCCATTTGCATGCACCACACTGGCTCAAGAATAATAATACTATCAAATAATATAATGTTCCATTTATTTATTTTGACATGGTAGTCCACACTGAGAGCCAGCATGGCATAGTGGTTTGAGTGCTCGACTAGGACTCTGTAGACCAGGGTTCAAATCCCAGTTCTGCCATGAAAGCCCACTGGTGACCTTCAGCAAGCCACACTCTCTCAGCCTCAGATGATGACCATGGCAAACTCCCTCTGAAGAAATTTGTCAAGAACACCCCATGATAGGGTCCCCATAAATTGGAAACTATGTGATGGCACACAACAACAACAAACTCCACATTGTTACCTGCTTTATTCAAAGAATGTTAACACCATCGAATAAAGCAGTTACCAAAGTGGCTACCATGGCAACGATGACAAAATAATAAATGGAACATTATAAAATTGTTTAATGCATGATGTTGTCAAATAAAGGGGAAAATATAGAAGACCTTGTTTAGTAAATGCAAAGACGGCTATGGATTGAGCCTCAGAGGGTTCAACTACACAGGAGCCACGGTGGTCCTGATCCCTAGTTGCCAGATCATTTTAGAAAAGGCTTAGCCCTTATGTGCCCACATGTGCCTTCAAATTTGCCTCCTCCTGATCTATGGTAACCCCAATAATTTCTTAGGGATGGAATACACAGGGGTGGTCTGCCATTGACTTTCTCTGAAATACAGCCTACAGCACCAGGTACTCCTTGACGGTCTTCCACCCAAATATTAATCAGGCCTGACCCTGCGTAGTTTCCCAGATCTGAAAGGGCATAGTTGGCACGCAACTATGCTGATGCCTTTAGGGTACAACTGGTCCTCCGTATCCGCAGGTTCTTTATACATACACAGTTTGAAAATATTTTTTTTAAAATACAAAGGCCGAAAAGCAAACTTTGATTTTGCCATTTTATATAAGGTTCTTATATAGTTCTATGTAACTGGACTTGAGCATCCATGGATTTTGATATCCACAGGGACAGTCCTGGAACCAAACCCCAGTGGATGCCAAAAAGGCTCACTGTATTTAGACTCTGGAGGAGCTCAAGCCCTTCCCATTCCAGAGTCCATGCCCCTGATCTTTCAGCATCCCTGATTTTAAGCCCATAGCATGCCTGCATGGTGCAGTGGTTTGAGTGTTGGACTATAGCTTTGGAGAGAAGCGTTCCAATCCTCACTCAGCCATGGAAACCCACCAGGTGACCTTGGGCAAGTCACATTCTCTCAGCCTCAGAGGAAGGCAAAGACAAGCATACTCTTGAACAAATCTCACCAAGAAAACCACATGATAGGTTCGCCTTACGGTTACCATAAGATGGAAATGACTTGAAAGCACACAACAAGAAATACCTGCTTGCTGAATGCCACCCACCAAACAAGTCTCTTTTCATTCCAGGTTATCAAGTGACAGTGCTGGTGCGAGATCCCATTCGTCTCCCTCCAGAGCTTCAACCAGCACAAATAGTGGTGGGAGATGTGCTGAACCTATCAGATGTTGACCGAGCCGTGAAGGGCCAGGATGCCGTGATTGTGATCCTGGGCACCCGGAATGACCTCAGTATGTGATGCTTCATCCTTCCATATCTCCTTCTCCTACCAGCCCTCAGCCCATTGACACAGTTCTCCTGATTTTTCTTCTTCCACCTCTCTCTCAACAGGTCCCACCACTATGATGTCTGAAGGTACCCGGAACATTGTGGCAGCCATGAAGTCCCATGGCATCCGCAAAGTGGTGGTTTGTCTTTCAGGTAGGGAAGTGCTTGGGGACTGGATGGGAGTGGTAGGCATGGATGGATGCCAAACATGGATGGATATATTCAAAAATATAGCCGTGTTAGTCTGCAGAATCAGTATGTAGAGAGTTCTTATAACACCTTTGAGACTAACTGAAAGAAAGAAGCTGGCAGCATGACTTTTCCTAGACTTAAGTCAAATGCATCTGAGGAAGTAGATAAAGTCCTATGATTGGGCCACTCTAAGTCAGAAACGACTTGAAGGCACACAACATACAAAAGCTACTTCAGGTAACCTGGAACCATGTCCTATTCTGTTTGTGTCTTTGCCTCCATGTAGCCTTCCTCATGTGGGATTTGGACAAAGTGCCTGCCAAGCTGCGGCCGGTGACAGAAGACCACATCCGGATGCAGCAGATCCTGAAGGAGTCGGGGCTAGACTGTGTCTATGTCATGCCACCCCACATTGCAGGTATGGGCTCATGACAGTGAGGCTGCCAGTGCCCATCCTGGCATTTGGGATTGTGCTGGGTTTTCAAGAAATGGTTTGCAACTGGGCTGGATGGTAGCTCTGCTTATCTGGACCCTGTGTATTTGTGCAAGGAAAGCCTTTGCTGATCTGCATATGCAAATTGATGCCAGTCTCTGCATGTTTTGGCCTGCATTGCCATTAATGTCTGGCACAGGCCTTAACAAGGTAGGAGTACTGCAAGCCACCCACCTGTGCTTTTTAGCACTAAATTAAGAGCAGATCTAGTCATGATGGGGCTCTGCTAAATTTGCTGCATTCTTTCTTCATTAAGACAGCTGGGAAGAAATATTTCCATGGCTGAGAAGTCACACGTCAGCTAAGATTCTGCATTGACCAGGTGGAGCGTAACCCTCCGCCTGCACAGTTCTCTGTCTTCTCCTTGCCCTGGGGCTTTCCCAAGCCATGAGAGAGGCTGGTGCTGCTTACTGGTGGAGAGCGGATGGACAAGTGGATCCCAATGATGAAGATGTAGTTGCCCTAGTTTCTGGGAGCAATGTATAAGGAGAGTGCACTCACAAACCCTCTGGCATTTCGGATAAAATCTGGACACGTGTGGCTGAGCCAGATCACATTGCAGTCAAAAGAATGTGGCCAGGCACAACGAGGCAAACAATATTAATAGGAAGAACACATACATCTCCTAATTCTAAGCAGAGAACTCCTGGAATTTATGTACATACAGAATTTAGAAAGGGCAAGTCTCTGCCCCTTTTCTCTTCTCTCTCTCTC